TTTTCATGTACCTGAATCAAAATGTTTTCTTCCTTTTCCTCCCTGATTAGGAGAAGTAACTGTTGACAATATTGTCACACCAGCAATTATATAAATACTTAAAAGAACAAAAGCACAAATTTTCCCTCTTGAATTTGTTGTTACCATTTCATAAAAAACCACACATTGTGATTGATTGATTGATTGATTGATTGATTGATTCCTATCAAAAAATTTCTTATTCCTTCCAATTAAAATATTTTCTATAAACAACAACCAAAAAATAAAAAAAAAATTTTCATTTAAAAACTTTACACAACAGCAACAACAACAACAAAAATTGTTTTAAAAGGAAAATTTATAATAATAATAATAATAATAATAATAATAATAATAATAATAATAATAATAAAACAGACAAATTTAAAAATAAGGTACAAAATAAACAAAAACAATTTTAAAGAAAATTAGGTTGAATAATAATAATAATAATAATAATAAAATTTTATTTTTCTGTGCAGGAAATGAAAAAAGGAGGAAAAAATTTAAATTAAATCAAAAAAAAAAACGATTTAAAATAATAATAATAATTTTATAGAAAAAACGTTGAAAAAAGAATCAAATTTTAATTATTATTATTATTATTATTATTATTATTTAAACAAATTATTATCGGGTTTAAGAAAAAAAAAAAATGAATAAAAGAAAAAAAAAAAAACGTTAATTTTAATATATCCATAAATTCCCTAAAGATGGAGAGGAGGGAGGGAGTGGAAGGGGGGGAATCGTTTTATTTCCAGGATACAATTTTCCTTTTTTTTTTTAATTATTATTATTATTATTCTCGGGGATCATCACGCGAATGAAAAAAAAATAAATAAATAAATAAATTACCTTTAATAATTAAATAAATAATTCACTTAATAAAATTCAAACGATAATCGTACAAAAAAAAAATCACCGAAGACGACGACAAAATTTTTTTTTCGAAAAATTTTCCGAAACTTCCGAGAGAGAGAGAGAAAGAGAGAGACAGACAGACAAAAAAAAAGAAATGTATATATATATATAAAAAAGAAAAAAAAAAAAAAAAAAGAAGGAAAAAAAAAAAAACTGTGAAAAAGACACGATGAGAGAGTAAACGATTGGATGAATCGGGTTTGTTACCATGGCAATCCACACACACACACACCCTTTCGCCTTTTAAATCAATGGAAACATTTTTTTTTTTTTTCTTTTTTTTTCACTTTTTTATTTTTTTATTATTTATTTATTTATTTATTTATTTCTGTTATGAATTATTGATTATGTTAACCGATAAATATTATTTAAATTTTTTTATCTTTGCAAAAAATATTAAAATTAAAAAAAAACCCCTCCCCCCCCAAAAAAAAAAAAGAAAAAAATTAATGCATAAACGATAACACAAATGTAAAATCATTATTATCATCATCATCATTATTATTATTATTATTACCATGTGTAAAATAAAAAACACGATATTCGTCCGTCGGCTGTTGGCTAATTCCAAATACAAAAAAAAAAAATTAAAAAAATCGTCTTAAAATTAATTTAGTTTCCTCAATTTCAATTATTTCATTATTATTATTATAAATATTACTATTATTATTATTATTATTATTATTATTATTATTATTAATTCATTGATAACAGATAAAATATAAATAAATAATCGTTTGGATTATATTTGTAAAAAAAAAAGAAAAAATTTTTTTTCATTCAGAACTTTTTACTACAACTATTACTATTACAAAATTATTATTATTATTATTTGATAACATTATCACGTGATTAAAAAATCCCACTATAATCATTATTATTATTATTTTGCATTCGTGTGAAAAAAAGAAAAAAATTCTACCGGAATGGATAAAAAAAAAAAAAAAATAATTTTTTTAAAATTAATTTTCTCCGTTTGTATATTTTAATTATTTATATAATTTAAATTTTTACCTAATTATTATCATTATCATTATTATTATTATTATTATTATTATTATTATTATTATTAATCATCTATTTATAAATACCAAATTTTATATATAATCGAAAACGAAATTCGTGTGGAAAATTTTATTTTTATTTATTTGGGTGCGTATTAGTAGTAGTAGTATTATTATTATCATTATCATCATCATTATCATTATCATTATTATTAATTTCAATATGGAAAATTTTATGATTTTTCCTAATCAAGTGCATATTATATTTAAATGATAAAAGAAAATCCATTGTTTAAATTAAAAAAAAAAAAAAAAAAATTATTTACATGATAAAAATTAATTATTATTATTATTATTATTATTTTAAAATTTTCATTAATTAACATTATGAGAGAGAGGGGGTGGGGGTGGGGGGTGGGGAAAACCCTTTACAGTTAGTTTACTTACAATTGAATAATACAATAAATTAATTAAATACAAATATTGCTTTTATTTATTATTACAATAATAATAATAATAATTTTTTATATTATAAAAATTATTTGGCACCCTCGAATTTAAGGCCCATAATAATAATAATAATAATAATAATAATAATAATTATTCAATTTTTTTTTGTAACTGAAAGACTCATCATCATCATTATCATCGTCATCAAAGGTACAAAAATCGACATTTTCCTCTCTAATTTAATATTTATGTTAAAAATTATTTAATTAATATCATTTCACAAAACAACTTATTCGAATCAAAAAAAATGTTAAACATATGGGGGGGGGTAACGCGGAGGGGGGCGGGGAGTCCATAAAATTAATAATAATTTTTTACAACAGCATTTTAACAAATGTTTTTAAACGTTACTGTATACCTTCTTCTTCTTCTTCTTCTTTAGTCAATGTGCAAGTTTCACAGAAGAAAAAAATAGGGGGGAGGGGAGGGGGCGGGGAAAAAATTTTCTTTTCCCTTTCTTATTTTTATATGTCAGTCTCTATAATCATATCGGGGTTTTGCTTTTAAACTTTTCCGTTCGGTTCGATATTTACGTTGCTGCCGTTTTTGACGTCGTCATTTTCCCATTATCCGTTCCCGATTCCGATGCTTTTTTACACGTTTCCGGTTTTACTATACGGGCAGACGTGATTATGGTTGCTAGAAAGTTGTGGCACGTATTACACACTCTCACGGGTTCGTATAATTGTTCTCCAGGCACGGCAGCAGTATTATCGCTACATTCCGAGCAGAAAACTTTTCCGCAATTGCTGAGAAAGTAATTTCAACCCTTAAAAATCCTTTCAAGAACATTTTGTTTTTATGATTAAGGGTAATAATTACCGGCAATGATGTTTTCGTCGTCCTAACCAAAATTCAACGTCACAGCCTTGACACCTGGCAACTGCATGATCTGGAACCCATAGAGTTGGTTTTGTGTCGTTTTCATCCACAGCTTCCCAAGAAAGATCAGAAGGTATAGATGATGGATTCGGTTCGCTACACATGGACTCGGGCCGAGAGATTTGCTGAAAATTCAATTATTATTATTAATTGATTTGTAGTAAAATAATAATAATAATTTTTAAATAGTAAAACACACTCACGGTTTCTTCAATGTTGGTTCGAGGACAATGATGGCAAACTTGCTGTATTAAAGCTAAACGAGTTGTATGAAGTTCTCTTTCCAATGCTTGTTCTTTACTCTTATGTTCACCTATTATCTGACTCACTCGGGTTTGTATATCATCTTGACAATGCTGTAGACCGTCTATATCGAGAGAACCGCTTCTGCATCGCGGATGGTGCATGTTGGGCTCGATGGGTGTGGCAGGGTAGCCACTACTCGGAGTCCGGGAGTACGAATGGAGGAGTAGAATAACGACTGTTTCTACCGCTTGTAGAACTGCTTACCGCTGCTTTCTCTAAAATACAAATTTAAATTTATTTGGACACATTTATTTAAAATTTAAATCACGTGATCGACATTTTAATTAATTTGACAATAATGCAAAAAAAATTAATTATATTCCCCATTTAATTATTGAATAGAAATTGTGCATTAATAATCCGTTTAATCAAAAAATTAATAAATTAATAATAATAATAATAATAATATTTTAATAAAATTAATACCCGAATTGATCAGAAATTTAATTAAAATTTTCCGTTAAACTATCTCTAAAGATGTACGAAAAAAAAAAACAAAAAAAAATTTTCATTAAAATTTATTTCTACTACTAATTTTATTTATTGTTTTAATAATAATAATAATAATAATTTTAATACTTATTTTGAAATTAAACTTTTTTATTTATTTATTTATTAATTTTCATCGTCATATTTTAATTACAATTGAAAAACGTTCACTGTAATAGTAATAATAATAATAACTTGAAAAAAAAAAAAAAAAAAAAAAACAAAATTTTTAGGTTGACATTTTAAACAAAGAAAATAATAATAATAATAATAATAATGTTGGAAAACATGCTTAATTTTTTTTTAATTTAATAGAAACACATGCATTAAACAAAAAAAAAAAATATATATATAAATATAAAAAAAAAACTTTACAAAAATTATTATATTATTAATAATAATAATAAAATCACTTGCAATTATGGCCAAGCAGAAAGCACCGCACATTTTTTTTTATTTTACATTTTAATTAGTGTTAATTAAGGTTCTCCTAAGCGAAAATAAATAAATAAAAATTTTTTTTTTTTTTTTTTTTTTATGCCATCGCTTTGCAAATAATGCAAGAAATTTCCTTTTGTATTATATAGACTCACTTTTTATTAGGCGTGTTAACGCATATTCGACAAGCATCGCCGCCGCAAGACGAAGAGGTAACAACAACTCCATTAACCAAAGTACCCGTCGAACTCACGAGTGATGGAATCCTTTCTTCCTCGCTGTTCAACTTTTCCAAACTACCGCAAACGTCAAAATGAGTTTCCGTTTTATTTACAAAATTCTCATAAAGCTCTTCGCTGATTGTTCGATTTTTTCGTCGCACGGGATTTTCACTTATTTCACTTACGACACTTTCCCCACTTTCACTTTTACGGTTCGTATTATTATTATTTGTATTATTATTATTATTACTGTTCGATATATTACTGCTCCCGGCATTGCAATTATTACCGATCGAATTCCCGTTATTGTTATTTGTTTCTACGAATTTTTGACGAGCGATTATGGTTTCTTCGGACCGCCACGTTTCCGACGACGTTTGCTCTTCTTCTTCGGACGAGTCTGAAAGAGGTTTTTCACTAAACCTATAACAAAAAAAAAAAAAAAAAAATCAAACGTGATTAAAACTAAATCACTCCGATCTCTTGTGGTATTTGACGTCAATTTTTCAAAACATTTTCAACAATACCTTCTATCTTGAAGTTCTTCAACCGTTCCATTTAGATCTTCGTGAATGTGATTTGAATCTCCGTTTGAAAATATCGAAGATGTTAAAATTGAATCCATTTCCCTATCATCTTCTTCTTCCTCATCATCATCTTCTTCTTCCTCTTCTCTTCTTTTTTCTTCCTTTTCCTCTTCGCTTTGTTTTCCATTTAAAACACATTTATCAATAGGCATAACTAATGATTCAATATCGCTGTTTTTCAATTGCAAACTCTCTAATTTACTGAAAAAAAAAAAAAAAAAAAAAAAAAAAATTTTTTAAATATAACGAAATCATAATTTAAAATTGGAATTAATTGTTTTCTTATTCTTTCCCTTACATTTCAGTGGCAATATTTGGATGACTAGATCTCCGACCTTGAACTAATGGAGATTGCGATTCTTCCGTGGTTGTAGCTGTCGTTAAATCTCCGTAGGACCTCGTTTTACCAAGTCCCAATACGGATAAACCGTTAGTCACTAGGTTTTCTTCGTTGGGACCAAGTAATTTCGTAACGGCTGCTTCCAAACTACCTATGTACACTTCGCTCCACAGAACTAAATCGCGAACGTTACAGGAAGGCCACAAAACCTAAATAAAAAAAAAAAAAATATCTTTTAGGTAAAATTAACTTTCGATACCGCGTAGTTGGTAGTTTTAAAAAAAAAATAAAATTTTACCTCGCTGACATCTTCGTACAAATGATTTTTAAAATTTGAACCTTTGAGAAATTTCCAGACGGAAAATGTTCGCTCGGAAACCTTGCACACATTTCTCTCTTGGGAACAATTGCAGAGAAAAGTTCCAAATAAATTTGAATAAGTGTGTTGGGCTAATTTAACTAAATAGTCCTGCAAATCAAAAAAATTAAAAGTTTTTTATGTGATTCAATTTGAAAATAATAATAAAACAAAAACAAACCTGAGAATACTGAAATGAACAAGGAAATTGAATGAGTAATTGATGCACGCAATCCAGCCACTGGAGAAAGACTGGACATCTTTCATTTAATTCTTCGTATCGAACCGAATGACCGCATCTAAATGCAAATTTGTGTCCAAAGTCTAACCATTCTCTCTCTACCAAAACTTGAAAACCCTAATTTTAATTAATAGAAAAACGATTAGTAAATAACGATTAGTAAATAAAAACCAAAAGAAATTACTAAATAAATTTTTACCTCTATGGTTCGGTAAAAGGGATCCAACAGTATCTGAGCTAGAGCAACAATTTGCGGCGTTCTATCCCATCCGTCGGAGCAATGAACGAGTACGGGTCTGGCTTCTTTTTCTATGGCAGCAGCAACAGCTACGGCCGCTCTCAATAATCCAGCCATATGTTGAAGCCACCTCGAACTTTCAAGCATGCTCAACCAACTTGAAGTAAAAATATACCAACAACAATTAATTTGGAATGAAAACAATTTAAACCGTTGAATATACATAATGGGTAAATAATTACTTTGACGGCTCGGGTATTGAGCAAAGCTGTCGAATTGCTTGGAAGCTTTTTCTAATCGAATGAATATTAGCAAGGTTCATAAATTGAATTTCACAACGCGGATAATATTCCGGACATTCGCATCCTCCTCCTCTTGCTCTATTAGCCACGGCCGTAGTGTAAGATCTGGCATCCATGATTAAAACCTTCTACAAAATAAAAAAAAAAAACAGAAATTTTTTTTTTTTCTTTGTTCAATTAAAATAAAACAAACATGATTTTAAATCACTTTACTTTGGTTGATGACATGTGTTCTTTATCAATATTTACAGTCGGCGTTATTCTATCGGTTTGATAATCGTCTAAATTATCTATGGATGTATTCCTTCCCTTGTCAAAAGCACAAGCATCCGCTATGGCGCTAATTAAATACTCATCTTCTGACGATCTCCATCCCAACCATCCCACTTCTGGTTGACTACAACGGGCAATCACCGCTCCATTCCCGGTGTGTCTGCAATAATAAAAACCTCGTTTCGATTTTAAAAAACAATGAAAAAAAAAAAAAAAAAAAAATTTAAATAATACCTCCAAACTACAGCAGGAACTCGTCTGGCACTTCTGAACTGGGCAGCTTGTTCTAAAGTAGAATCGGTTATACAAGCCGGTACCAATAACTGTCTAGGATAGGACGAACACAGTTTATATTCAGAATTAGCTTGACTAATCCTCCAGGCACCATTAACGTCAAACTTTAATCTGTCTACCTGCGTATTTAAAATATTAAATATTTCACAGCATTATTTCCATTAATATTAATAAAAAAGAAAAGGCAAAGACACTCACTTCGCTTTTAAAATAATAATATTCGCCATCTTTCGACGACAAACGTGATAAAACTTCTTCTCCACCTTCTTCAGTTGCCCAAGCATGAAAAGCAAATGCAAATACATCTTCGATTTGTTTCGGAGGCGAAGTGGCTTTAATTAGTCTACGAAACCAGTCTTGACAGTGTTCATTTGTCGAAAAAGTGCACCTAAACGTACAGATAAATATAGATGATAATAATAATAATAATATTTATCCGTGATATAAAAGTAAAAAAATTTTTTTTTAGAAAAGAAAAGAAAAAGAAAGAGAAAGATACCTTAAAGATCTCGCATCTTTACAACCAATGTACAAATAAAAAATTTCTCTAATTTCGATTATTTCAATTAAACCTAATGGTATATTATAGTACGTGTCTTTTAGTTGCAAATAAATTCTATAATTGGATAAAGCGAGAATTCCATCCGCGGTTCGACCCAAATATTCGACTGCTTCACCGCAAATGGTCTTGTAGGGAACCTGAAGGTGCTTTTCCTCTTTTTCAAGGGTTCGCTTCGGGAATAATTCAGAGGCGCGCACGTGACAAATTGATTGAATCGAAGATGGCTGTTCATTGTCCATGACGCTATTTAAAATCTACAAAAAAAAAAAATAAAAAATAATAAAAACTTATAATATCAGCTATTAAGTTGAATAAATAAATAAATATATGTCCTTGACATTATTTCAAGGCACCGTGTGATTTTTTTTTTTTAAATGTAAGCAATAATGAATGTAACTTGTGGGTTTTAAATATATAAATATAGAGATTTGCGGTTGAGAAAAAAAAAAAAAAATTTGTTGTTTCCCCAATTTCCTCCCCTCTCACAGATTTAACATACAAAAAAAACCCATTGAAATTATTTGTTTTGGTTTTTAAATTTGCAAGTTTTTTTATATTTAAATCAAAATCGATTTGAATGAAATACATATATATATATATATAAAATTACACCAATTAACATTATTTTGTATTTCTTTTTTTTTTGTCGCTAGGTTTCAAAATTATACGTTCGTTGACCTTAAACCAATGTTATCATAAAAAAAAAAAAAAATTCATATAAATTATATACATATTTATATATTTTTATTTAATATTCATTTATATAGAATTGATTACATTAAAAAAAAAAACAACAACTTTACCCCGATACAAATAATAATTAAAAAGTACAAAAAAAAAAAAAAAAAAAAAAAAAAAGGTTGATACGATTCACAGGTACGACACATCTAGAATCCAAACCTGGCTTGATGCTGCATAAATTTAAAAAATAATAAACTTATTATTCGAAGGTCGTTAAATAATAAAAAAAAAAAAAAAATCACACACACAAATTTAAAAATAAACGCGTTCCAGCTCATACTTATAACTCCAATGCAAGCTTGGAAAATATTTAAATAATTTTAATTAAGTTTAAAAAAAAAAAAAAAAAAAAACTAAATAATTATTATTAATTTTTTTTATTTTTTTTTTAACAAGCATTATTAAAGGTTAAAGAAATAAAAAAAAATTTTAAAAGTGAAATGAAATGAGAATTTAAAAAAAAATAAAAATAAAAACTTGTTGATTATGTCATATTTATTATGAATTTAAAGGTTTTAAATTAAATTAATTATGAACTGAATTATTTGTAATTAATTTATCGAATGTTCTCGACAATATGTCTATTTTTATGGTGTATAATTTTCATTTTTAAATGTTTAAATCGCGTTGCAATTAATAATACTGAGATATTACCATCATAAATTAACAAATGTTTTCTATTAATAATGAAATATATGTCCATCATATACACAATGAACTTAATAATTCAAAACAGAAAAATAATATTTATTAACGCTTCAGAAAATTTTTTTATTCAAGTATATATCGATACATACCTTAATTACATGAATTTTCTCATTATTGCATTTAAATATATAATACTAGTAAATGATTTTATATAATATAAAAATATAAACCTCAATAATTAAATTATTAGAAATATTTTGATTTTAAAAACAAAGGTAAAAGCAGAAAATGGTAAATAAATTATTTTAAGTAACAACAAATTAAAACTTGTTTTTTTTTTTTTTTTTATAATTAATAAAAATGAGCTTGGTAATTAATGTACAAATGAATATATATAAAACTTTTTTTTCAAATAAAGATTTTAAATAGAAAGTTGGAAGTTTATGTATGTGTTATGGTAAAAAAATTTCTTTTAACCGATAAAATAAATTAATTTGTTTAACGAAAAAAATATTAAAAAAAAAAATTCTTTTCTTTTTATTAATTGCAATATTGAAATTATTGTAAAATAAATAAAATTATTTAAGTATTACTTTTAAAGAAGTAAAGTTCAACACATTACAAATATCTTTCTATTAGCTAATAGACAAATTAAAAAGTGAACAATGCAATAATAAGACAGAAGTGAAAACCTAGATAAGGGTTACCTTGAGTTAAAATGTACAAATAAAAAAAAATAAGACAGCTTTGTCTTAAAATTATAATTTGTCCATGTATGCCAAACAAAAGTTTTTTAAAATTAAAGAAATTTATATAAATATGTATAATAAAGAAAACCAATAATATTATTTTTAATCAGAGGTCAATAATGTCGATTTCTTTTCAAGGTTTCATGCCGCCATTTGTCCTCAATAATTTTTCTGTCCAGTGTCAGTTGTAAATATGTGTGAAAAAAATAAAAATAAAATAAAATAAAGCTTACCCGTAACTGCAGAATAAAAAATAAATCCAAAAATATAGAAAAAATTTATGCATTTATAAACATTATGCTTAAAAATTATTAATCAATTATCACAATAAATATGTAGTTATTTTGTGTACTACGGTTGAATTTTACATTTTGTAACTAGTCAGCCATCTTTAAATGAATGACGAAAGCTAAATTTTATATTTGGCTTGATTGTTTCAAAACACTTGTTGCCGCAAAATGACGTTTCTAAAAGTTACAATAAGTGTAAAATGTTTTTAATTTTTTTTTTTTTTTTTTTAATTTAAGTTTAAATTTTTAAGTATTTTATTATTTTCTTAACTCGGTGTTCTCTTCTACTAAAGGTAAAATTTCTTTTTATTTCGATTAACTTGATAAAAATAATGTATATCCTTAAAATCAAAATCTTGTTGCCTCTTTAATTATTTCATTAAAGCCGAATACAGGGTTTTAATAATGCATACCTTTAAATTAGTTTTGTAAAAAAACAAATCGATATTGTGTTCAGTAGCCAGAATATATCATTATGAAGGTTATTTTAAAAATCAATTTTTAAAAAACTTAGTCTCGATACTAATAGTTTACATTAATTTTATTCACTTATTTGAAAAAATTTTCATTTTGTAATTTGTAATGTAACTCACTGTGCTTACTTGTTACTATTTTCAAGTGAGTTAATATGGTAGATTTTTAAAATATAATTAATAAAATTTAATTAATCATAAAAAACGTTTTTTATTATTATTATTATAGAGGAATGGGATTTTCTTCTCCATTGCATAATGTTAAAGGATATTCAATTAGCAGACCACCTGTAATAATTTTTGTTGTATGCTTATTTCTTTGTGCATCAGCAATAATTGCAATGGGATTTTTTATTCAATATTCAGATACAGTGCCCAACCAAGAAGTTAAAGATGTAAGTTTAACTTTTGTATTTCTTTCAAAATTTTTTAATTTTGTTCAGTATTGTTGCTTTGCTTTTTAAAGAAAAAATATATATTTATACATATTTTATAATTTTTTATATACAAATATATATTTTTTTTCTCAAATGATTAATATCAGCTTGATACTATAAAAAGGAAATTTTTTATTGTCACATTTCAAATTTGCTTTTGTTATTATAAGTGTTAAATTTTATGAAATTTATGCTAAAATAACATTTATACTCATTTAAGTACTTTTTTTTTTTGTAATAATTTGTTTTGTACTTCTTTGTAAATAAATATTAATGTATTATAATTTTTAAAGTTTATATGTTGTACTAAGACTACAAAAAAGAATTGAGAGTTTTTTTTTTTTTAAATTGATTTTATTATGTTAAGAATAAAGTGTTAAAATAAATTCAAAAATGAAATTTATTTTTAAAAGTTTTTTTTTCAACAAATAGTAAATTTTGTCGTCATGCAGGTAATTAATAATTAAATTGAGTCGAATTTAATTTAATTTTATTTGTTTAAACCATTAAATACAAAGAAATAATATTTCATGACATGAATTATACAATTTGATTTCTTATTATTTATTAGGTTTTTTATTCTAAATTAAATATATAACATTTAAATAAATAAAATTGTATAATTTATAAAATGTAGAAGCATTTTCGAAAAAATTAATGTTGAATTACTTCGATTGTTTTCCACAATCTTTAGTAATTGCCGAAAAAAAAAACATGTAACATTTTATTATCGATAATAGTAATAAAAATTTATCATGAGTTATTAAATATATGTTAAATTAAAAATTAATAAATAAAATTTGACCTATAACGTTTAAATTTCTACGTTTAACATCTGATTTTGTACATCAATGCTTTTTATTTAAAAAAAAAAAAAAAAATTGCAAAAATGTGAAATTAAAATTGAAACATATCAAGTATGTTTATTTTAATATGTAAAAAATTTCATTTAAAGCTTTTCATAAGTACAATTAATTATCTTTTATTTATTCGATTAGTAAATTTAGTTTTATTTTTGTTTTCGATAAAAAATTATAAACGCATAACTATTTATTTTTTTAATTTATATTCGAGTAAGTTTTAAATATTTTTTAAAATTTTTAAGGGTAATTAATTATGTGTTGATAATTAAAAAAAAAAAAGTCAATAATTTAGGTAATGCCATGAATAAAATGAATGAATGAATGCAAAAAAAAAAAAAACAAAACAAAAAAAAAAGGAACTCAGGTTTCTGATTTATCGTTACAGGTTTTTTAATTGAAGTCAATCATTTGAAAAGGAAGACTGCAACTAGTTCCGCTACCCATGCATCATTCATTTATATCATGGCTATACTAAAACGGATATAAAATATTTTTGGGATAAATATTAAAAAATTATTATTTTTTTTTTTTTTTTAATAGAAAATCCAGATCTCAATTTTTTTTTAATTATTATTTTGTTAGTTTTTTATTTTTTTTTTTTGTTAAATAAGATCTCAGAGTTATTATTTTAATAATCATAATGAAAAATTTAGTATTGATATTAGTATTGTTATCAATCGAAACATTTTTTCAAATAATTAGTGCGGGAAATGATGGGGAAACATGTTCGAAAAGTTTCGAAGAATGCGAAAAGGTTTTCAACGGAAAGAAAAAACAAGATTTAAAATTATGCGGGTCAAACAATGTTACGTACGTTAATCGGTGCTTTTTAGAAATGGATGTTTGCATCGGGAATAAAATAACAATCAAACACAAAGGACGATGTCGGACAAGGCAACCTTGCTTCAGAGAATTGAAAAAAGCCGAGAGAAATCGGGAAAACCAAGAGTTCGTACCTACCTGTTTGAAAGATGGTACGTTTTCCCCGATGCAATGTCACAACGAGACCGGTTTTTGTTGGTGCGTGACTCCCAAAGGAAAACTAATACCCAATTCTGCAAAACGTCACGATAAACCAAATTGTTCGAGAAAATTTAAAATGCGGAGGAGAGCATCCGTACGGAAAGACAATAAAGAAATTTGCGGACCCAACGACAAACAAAAATTCAGTGAAAATTTGTTAAATTTGTTCAGAGCCGAGTACGGTAAAGATTTGAACGAGGATGTGGATACGGTACTGTTAAATCAAAAAATACTCAATTGGAAATTTCAATCGATTGATAGAAACGACGACGAGTACCTTCAACGTGCGGAGTATAAAGTTTTGAGAAGGTTGAAAAAATTAATAAAGCCTAAAAAATGTGCGAAAATGTTTGCGAAAATATGCGATTTGGATCGCGATTTTAAAATATCAAAATCCGAATGGTCGGCTTGCTTGGGAGTGAGCATGATAACCCTAAAGGGAAGTCCCATAGCTTCACTTTCGGGTCAACTTCCGGGTTTCGAACACGTGAATCGTAAAGACCAAGAACCCGAAGCAAACGATTGTTTCTCGGATAGACAAGCCGTACTCGCCGAACAAAGGTCGAATAATTTATACGTTCCTGAATGCACTCCCGACGGTCGATACAATCGCATACAATGTTACAAATCGACGGGATACTGTTGGTGCGTCAACGAAGACGATGGAAAACCCATTCCCGGAACATCCGTTAAAGATCAATTGCCCAAATGCGATTCCGTTCCGGTTCCCATTCGACCCATGAAAGGTTGTCCGGGACAAAAAAAAGAAATTTTTTTAAAAGGTCTGATGGAATTTTTGGCGGACAAAGTCATTTCGAAAAACGTGACACAATATTCGATGGAACAAGTCGTGTCTCTCAGTTTTCTCTCGCTCGATTCGAACAATAATAAATATTTGGATAGAAAAGAATGGAAAAATTTTCGAACTCTCATCGTCGACAATAAAAACCTTAGACGTTGCGGAAAAAGACTACCTAGATTTTGCGATATTAATAATGATAGAAGGATCAGTATGACGGAATGGACGAATTGTTTACATAGGAGGGGGCCAAATCCACTTAAATCCTACCTGAAAGATGACGATTAAAATTAATCTGCTGCTAATCTCTTAATACAATTGTTGAATTATATAATAAGGAGATATACGTTGATATTATTATTATTAATCATGACGATAATTAAATATTATTTATAATTTATTTATTTATTTTTTTTTTTTTTATTAATAAATGACCAAGACATTTTTTTTTTTTTTTTTTTTTAAACAAAGTTAAATATCATTGTTATAAAATATTTACATACTCAAAAAAGAAATAATAATAATAATAATAAAATAAAAGAATTATTTAAAATAAGGTCGGTAGTAGTGCTTTAAAAAAAAATAAAATAAATAAATGTACATAAAAATTAATACTTTAATTAATGTATTTCAAATAAAAAGATTTTCAATAGATATTCATATTATTAGTACTTATTTAATTATTTTAATTAATTGATTTTAATAATCAATAGAAATAAAGGATAATTTTATTGTGATTATTATTATTATTATTATTATTATTATTTTTTACTATTAAACTCTACTTGTAAGTTTATATAATGTTAAAAAGTATAAAAATATTTTAATATATATATATA